TCATTTTATGAATGAAAATTACTTTTATTATCCGAAACAGTGCATCAGCAAAAAACTTTATTATAACTAGACACGCTTAACTTTATTTACTCATGATGAAGAATATTAATGCAAAATTCCGAGAGGCTCAAAAATTTACATTGCTACTACTAAATTAATTTTCTTCTATTTTTTAACTGTAATATTACTCCGATTTTAATGAAACTCGGGGAGTGAAGTGTCTGTGTTCTAAAAGGACTATTTCGCGATTTTGTATCCACTGTTCCTCTCAAGATAAATACTGAAAAAAGCACATGAGCAATATACTCCTGCCATTTAAGACCATCTAAACCTGGTCTTCCCTCATCATAGACGAAAAAACGGCGATTTCTTGACTGACGAATAATTTGTTTTCATCGAATACAATATATTCAAATCTTACACAAAATTACAGCCATTCTTTCTGATTTAATATTCCAAAATTTCCGCGACTTAAGAGACGCGGACATTGGCTCTTCTCCTCTCAGGGTACGCAAATAAATATTCCTCCATGGACTGTGTCGGATAAGGATGGCTTAGCGTGGCGGGCCGATATGTAAGTGCATGTTGCACGCAGGGGGGCATATCCGAATGCTGCAGCTTGAAAGCTGAGTAAAGGATGGGCTCGAGGTCGTGAATGGCTTCGTGAAAAGCAGCGGCGTAAGAGGAGTAACGGGTTACATTTCTGAAAGCTCGCTGTACAGATCCCATTACCATAGCGACCGTCGCCACAGCATTACCGTCCTATGTACGGGATGTTTAGAACGTTACAACGATAAATCGTTCGGCTCACGCCGAATGTGGAACTTCTCTAACGTGTCATAAATACGTCGACCCCAATTCACGTCGAAATCCTTTGCCGCAATGTGTTAATGAGCTCCTCCGAATTGATCTCGGTCAGCTTCGAACTTGACTCGATAATGAGCGCGAGTTAAGCGGAAACGACCGGTTGACGAATAGCGAAAGCTTCGATTAAATGGCCGCTTAACCGGTGGCGACGCGAAAAACCGGTTTACAGACCCTAATCATCCAGTGCGTCTTTCCCGAACTGACGATCGCGCTCGCGCTGAAGACAATACACAGAAAAGAAAGAATTGTTTTGAAAATATCTTTATTCTTGGTATATAAATCTTAAAGTGTGATTACATTACATTAAACGAACATTAAACAAAGATGAGTCACTTGCATATGACTCAACGAAGAAAAATATATTCTTATTAGAATCAACAACTTATCAGAAATAACATTCATGAGTGAAAAAACCCAAAATATTGAATTCAAAATGTGATATTTTTAAGTGTCGGAAGAGGATATCATTATCATCAAGATAATTATATTATACTTCTTATGAGATTATTATAATATTATAAAATATTAATATAATATACTTATAATAATAATATAATATAATAATAATATAATATATTCATAATACTATAAAAATATAATAATATTTTAAAAAATTATAGTATTGAGAAATTCAATACTTTAAAATTCTTTTAACAAAATTATATATTGCGTTACTTGTATACGAAACAATGATTGTTTATTTGAGTATACTGATTTTAAGTCATGCTGATGACAATTATTTATCTTGTTACTTTACTCTACTTATTAATAATCAGCAGATAATTTTTGTAATCCTTGATCCGCGCAAACCAGTCGCTGACCATCGATGATGGAGGCTCACTTACATTTATAATTCGATTAATTGCGATTTGATAACGGCGAGATACGACAACTCGTATATCGTCGCTCCACGAACCGTGATATATAAGGATTACACATTACGACGACATTCGTCGAGATCGCATTTGTCGCGGCTGCAGGACGTACGCATGTCAGCGTGCTCGGCAAATCGAAACACGAGGGGGTCATTCAGGGTGAGACGAATCGTCCAGAGACTGCGCGAATCGCTCTGGAATTGTTGCCAGTTCCGAGAAAATTATGCGTCCTTTCGTTCTCGTCATCGCGTGCGATGACGTATATGCTGACAAAGAAGGAATCAGGTAAAAAGAGCCAAGTTTCACGGTTACGCAAATTTTGTTGCACAAACTGCGATCGAGTCGAATTGAATAAAAATTGGGTCAAATCGACGATCTGACGTAGGAACTTTGTCAACAATTAAGTTAACGAAACATACTATAGTATAAATGTTCATTCAACTACTAAAAGGTTAATCTAGATTATATCATAAGAGTAATTCTATGAAAGAATAAGTAAATTAGAAGACAAATAAATATGTTGGGTCAGTTTTGTAATCGCAACATTGAATTAAATTTTGAGTTTGTTTTATGTAAAAAGAAATCAGAGGAGCATCACAAAAATTTCGCTGAAAATAATGGAACATATATAACCCTGAAATTGTGAGTTTTGTTTAATTCAATTTTATCTAGACGCATAATGAGAGTAATTATGTGGTAGAATAAGAGAGTACATAAATTGGAAGACAAATAATATATTGGGTCAGTTTTATTAATCGCCTCATTAAAAGCTTAAATTATTTCGATTGGTCTATTTTTATATAGTACATATTTCCTGCATCTTAAATAAAACCATGTAATTATTGTCATAGAGAAAACGGAACAAAAACGTAAAAAGATTGTAAAAATAGCATATGCACGTAAATTACGTGAAACACTCAAATTAGTAGGCAATTAATACGTTGCAGAAACATTAATCAATTTTAAACCGACAATTAATTTTATTTTTATAGCTTGTATTACTTGACTTCTTGATTAGGCTATGATATATTTTCATCGAAATGACTCAAATTATCTTTAAACCCAGTCTTCTCGACTATCTAAATAGTTTTTAACTTCTTATCTATTCTTCTCATTTTCTGGAAATTATTTAAGCGACTGTGCTTGTGAAGTCACTACCTCGTCGAAAACACAAGTTTAAATTTAGCTTGTCTCGCAAGCAACATTGGAGAAAAAGGTTTTCCTCAACAGACACAAATTAATGAAAAATCGGACGTGTTTTCTATTTGCTTCATTTGCTAATCTTAGCTCTAGACTACCGTATTTGTGTTATACCAAAGTGTACGAGTGTCATTGAACTCTATTGCCCAATTGACTCTTTTTGTGCAAGTGAATCATATTATGCAATCATATTGCATTTGTGTCCACCAACTGCATTCGAACGTTAATTTTTATGGAGGACTAAAGTAAATTTAGTGTGACCTGAAGTGAATTTACCTGTGACTGTGTATTTTTCTAATATGCTTCTGGTTATTCACATAACTATAATAACAATATGAGTCAGTCTTTCTGGTTCAAATGTAATTGATATCTAATGCGTCATCATGCCTTTTGTGAAACTGAATTCATTGTATCATATATCGAGATAGAAATGGTGGGTGATTTTCTTCTGACATTTCTATCGATATACAATTCTCTATTGTAAGTGCCAATGCAATTTGCATCAACGCGGATGTTTTAACATCTCAGACTTCTCCATTTGCTTAGTAATACCGAGCCGTGATGATGGATACCGAACCGTCGCAGTCATCTTCTTCAAAAATGCTCTCACTAGATCTTGCACAAACTAAAAGCATTTTGGCCAAAACTGTGTGCAGGATCTGTGTAATTATGGCTAAAATGGATATAATGAAAACTAAAATAAACTCTACTAATCCCGTTGTATCAAAGATCGATGCCACGGATATAAAGAAGTCTTTATCTGAGATAGACGTTATCCGCTCCGTTGTCAGTCGACTCTCTATTGTCTACAAACTTCTAATTAAACGTCGAGAATTTTCAACAACGCTATCTACTGCTGCAAACCGTTGCTACGCCTCGCAGAGCGCTCTGTCTCTTGCAGGTGCGTTTGATGATCAGGTGGATGTATTGAGAACTAAAATGAACATCGAATCCGTTTTGTGTCAGATATTGATGCCGTGGATATGAAGAAGACTTTATTTGAGCTGGACAATATCTATTCTACTATCAATCAACTTTCTACTGCCTGCAACCTTCTAGTTGAGCTTCGGGAGATATTAATAGTATTATTTGCTGCTGAGGACCACTGCCGCGCTTTGCAGATTTCTCTACTTTCCGCGAATGCATTTAATCGTGCCAAGCGAGATTTGGTGGCTATTGAGAATTCTATGTAAGATGATGAACTTATGTTAGGAGTGCGTAACATATATTATATTCCCTTCGTGAGATTTTTTCTGGCATACTCTCGCTGGATAACGTGACCGACATTAAAAGATTAGAAAATGAGAACTCATCTTTGCATCCTCTTGTTGCAATTTCCTCAATTTAAAAGAGGCTTTGATGTTTCGTGACATTCGAGTTCAAAGTTTCAGGATTTTTTTTTTTAGAAAGGACTAACCACCGTAGACCTCATTATCTGATTCGCTTTTACTTGATCAATGTCTTGCTAAGAACATATATAAAACTGATAACCACAATATTATTCTCTCTATTAATCGTTATTTAAAACTTGTTCCATGTGAAATACTGAGATTTGAATTTAGAGTCAGATTTGAGTTTTTTTTATTTTGAATCATGATATATGCAGCGTTAGATTTATAATCGTGATTTAATGAACTCTCATTTAACTCTGAATTCAAATCTGAATATTTCACTTGAAACTCGAGTTTCAAATAATAACTATTAATCTAAGTCATTTTTCTCACACTCTCTAACTAATTTTCCTACTATTCGAATTACGAATAATTGCGCGTCATTCATAGTCTTAGTGTTGCTGTTGTCAAATTTAGAAATATCTGAGACCTAATATTGGGTCTGAAATCCAATCTTATTGTATATATACAAATCTATCGATTGTAAGGCCAAGTAAGCGTATACATGTTTCTCTAATTAGAAATTTCTGCGAGATAATAATAAATAACAACGATAATAATAAATTTACCGACTAGACTGACCGTGCGGAGTAGATTCGCAAAATAATGTAAGATAATTCGCTGCACATTGTCCACTAAGCTAGTTTCTCTTTTCTTGATTGTTCAGCCATGAGGGGATGAGCACTGGAGCAGGAGATGGAGGTGGAGGCGGTGTCGGAGGTGTCCAGAGCAGCGGCGGTGGTAGGAACACGCCGCCGCATGGTTCACCCACCCCCATGGACAAGGCGACCTTAAAGGTTCATCTTCCCAACGGTAAGTTATTCTGCTACGAAATAGTCAAGGAACTTTTTACACGCTTAAAACACGTCGGATGAGATTGAGAAGCTGCATAGCGTGACCTGCTTGCTTCTTAGCGTTTCAGAGAGCAACGTGACGACGCTCATTAATCATTATCCGTGCTATTTCTTGTCTATATTTACAACATATTTTTCTTGGCACGTTTTTGCAATTTATTCGGCTTTGCGCGTCGTTTCGACGACATAATAAAATTTGGAAAATTAAATTAAACTGAAATTGAATTATGTAAAATTTGCATGTATATTTTGTTTCATATAATTAGTTTCTTTTAAGATGTTTCATGATCTTCGTTGTGTATTAATAGATAAAAATAGAAGTAATCTCACTATATTTTTAGTTTTGTCCTCATAGTTATTCTAAATTATTCTAAATATTTTCATAGTTATTCTAAATATTTTCATAGTTATTCTAAACATGCAAATTAATATAGTAATAGTATAGTAAATATAGTAATATAGCAAATAACAAAATTAACATAATTGTATAATTTTTTAAATTATAGTCATTATACCTATGTATTTGTACACCCATATTTTATAGTTGTCACGATTTAATAAGCTTTTTATGTAGTAAGATGTCATTTGATTTCGTGTGTCGTAATTTAGGTGGCTTCAACGTCGTCAAATTCGGCGATGCGATCGACGTTCGAGGTATCATCTCTCTAGTCACCAGTCGACTCGCTGTTGGTGCCAGACACTACCGGAATCTGTACGCGATGAGGCTTCACCATCCCGGATCCGGAGAGAGTTATTGGTTGCATCAGGACACAACAATGTATCAGGTATGTAACAGCTCGACTCGCGAGCTACGTAATCGTACTCGGCGTACTCGATGTTTTCCGCAATTCTCATGTGCGCGTTAAATTCAGGTGCAGGAAAAATACGAGCGAAAGCATCCGCACTGCGAGTGGAGGTACGAGCTCCGAGTGCGTTACTTGCCTCAAAATCTAAACGATCTTTACGAGAAGGACAAAGTCACGTTTTATTACTACTACGATCAGGTACGATAAGCCATCGATCAGAGATTCAATAGCCGCATCTAATGCAAGCATGCTCAACTTTCTCGGATAATTACGATATAATAAATTTCATCGCGCGCCTTTCTTTTCTTTCGCAGGTGCGAAACGACTATCTGTGCGCGAATCACGCCGCTTTGGATCAAGACGTCGCGGTTCAACTGTGCTGCCTGGAGATTCGCTATTTCTTCAAGGACATGCCGCAAATTGCACTGGACAAGAAGAGCAATCTGGAATACCTGGAGCGTGAGGTAGAGTAGCCAGAGTTTGTGCTGAACAGCAATCTGCACGTCTGCTGAGAAAAAGACACTTCAAAATTTATCTGTAGGATAAAATTTATTTCTATGAAATGAAACTTCATTTCTGTGGATAAATTTTATATCCCACAAATAAGTTTTCAAGTATTTTTTTCTCAGTGTAGTTCTTTCGTTACAATACACTGAGAAGAAAATATTTGAACATTTATTTGTGGGATATAAATTTATTTCTCTGTAAAATAAAATTTATTTTTCTGTAGATAAACTTTATATCCCACAAATAGATTTTAAAGTATTTTTTTTCAATGTATACGCGAGTGGGATAATGAGGTGGAATGACCTGTGTTAGAAGAGAGAATGTATTTTTTCCCTGCAGGTCGGCCTGCATAAATTCTTACCGCGTTCCGTGCTGAACGGGATGAAGCCGAAAGCGCTCCGAAAATTGATACAGCAGCACTTCAAGAAAGTCGCGGCGCTGTCCGAGCTGGAATGCATGTTCAAATTCTTCGACTTGCTACGAGCGCATTACCGATTCGATCAGGAAAGGTTCATATGCGCCTTAGGGGTAAGCGATAATATATGCGAATCTATTCAGTGTGTATATGTGTGTGCGTGTGTTTCTTTGGATAGTCCGGACGATGAATGTGAAAAATAGACGTTTATACACGGAATTTATATTCGCTTCTCTCGCTATTTATTATACTCGATGTCCCACTTATAACTTCAGTCCTGTAAACTTCCAGTCAAGCTGGTCAATACCCGTGGAACTAGTCATCGGACCGGACCTAGGCATATCTTACATGGCTCATCGAGGTGGGACAGTGGTACGTTCACTAATCACATATGTGTGTCTTCTTCGTGCCGATCCTTACGACCGCACAGTTTCTTGGAACGGAACCTCTTGTTGCAGCCTACTAGAATGGCGGAATTCACGCAAATACAATCTATCCAAACGTTAGTCTCGGACTGTAAGGAGCACGCGAAGGCCTGTATTAAATTGAGAGTCGCGGGAGCCGCGGAGACTCTCAGCATTACTTGTTCCAGTCTGGATCAAGCGGAGAGTCTTGCGGATCTGATTGACGGATATTGCAGACTGGTCACCGACAGCAACACTTCGTTGTGGAACAGGAAAGGTAAGAAGATATCGCGTGCGTTGTTACTGCGCGAGAAAAAACTTAATGAGTTTCATCTCCGACTTTTTTAAAGTCGCTACAAAGACACCGTCCGTTGCATGAATCATATCTTTGATTCATTCATTATTATTATTTGACTAACACTATCGAAACATATTAAGTTCCTTTATTTTGTACTCGCAAGCTGGGTCGTGGAAGAATTATCCCTGTCCGTGCAAAGGTAAAGAGATGAAGGGCGTCGTTTTGTGTTTAAACATTAATTTATAATATGATTCTAAACAAGTGCTTAGCTGAAATGTGATCTTTCTTATTATAGACGCACAACCGCCAAAATACAGACAAGATGGTGCCAGCAGTCCCGAGAAAAACGCCGGTAAAACTGGAACCATTTTGTCGGAAGATTATGCGGAAATCGTCGACGAGGAAGGAGATTATTCGACACCAGCCAGTAAGTACACCTGTCTTCGTCAAGCGCTTTAAATAGATATCTTACGTAATTTTACACTTTATAAATATTCAGAGGATACTCAGGTTCGTTAATTTTTCTTGCAGCCCGAGATTACGAAATAGTGCGGAATCAGGTGGAACTAGGTGAAATTATAGGAGAGGGTCAATTCGGTAACGTTCACAAGGGTTCGTACAAGGGAAGAGATGGCCAGACTATCGCCGTCGCCGTGAAGACATGCAAGGTCGACGCCACGGCCGACAAGTTTCTCGAGGAAGCTTGTAAGCTAATGATGAAAATAGTTTTCATTAATGCTAAATCGAAATCAAAAGAGATTGCATCGTACGTTAGCTAATTCAGTTACTCAGGCTAAGTAATGCAATTTCAGATATCATGCAGCAGTTCGAGCATCCGCACATCATTAGACTAATCGGAGTCTGTTCTGAGGGGGCGCCAATCTGGCTCGTGATGGAACTTGCTCGACTCGGAGAAATGCGCGCTTATCTGCAGTCCAATAAACACCGTCTGGATCTCGCCACGCTTCTACTATATACCTTTCAATTGAGCACTGCCCTGTCGTATCTCGAAAGCAAGAAATTCGTGCACAGGTATTCACGACGAATGAAATTCGCATGTTAATTTGCGGTCGACTATCGCAGTCTAATATCCGCGACCTCATCGCAGAGATATCGCTGCAAGGAATGTGCTAGTCTCGTCGCATAGTTGCGTCAAGCTGGCGGATTTCGGCCTCAGTAGATGGGTAGAAGATCAGAGTTACTATACCGCCAGCAAATGCAAACTGCCAATTAAGTGGATGGCGCCGGAAAGCATAAATTTCCGAAGATTCACAACTTCATCCGACGTTTGGATGTTTGGTTAGCTGAAATCGATCATATCTCTTAAAAATTGATATCGCTTTATTCTGTCGCGCAAATAATACTTTCGATTGTTATTACAGGCGTGTGTATGTGGGAGATTCTGATGTTAGGCGTAAAACCATTCCAAGGAGTAAAAAATAACGAAGTGATCCGCAAGCTGGAGAATGGAGAAAGGCTCGCGCTTCCTAATCACTGCCCACCGAGATTATATTCCCTGATGTCTCAGTGTTGGAGCTACGAACCCAGCAAGAGACCGACGTTTAAAGAGATCAGGGAAACTTTACAGTGAGTACTCAACAATTCCTTTCGATTACTCCGAGATACTTTTCTTTGAAACTATCCTTTGATATATTACAGTGAGATTTTGCTGGAAGAAAAGCATCAGCAGCAGGAAACAATGCGACGCGAGAACAGAAGAGTACAAGCCATGTCTTGGGGTACGTAGGAAATCGGAGTTTACGATAATGGCGATAATTAGCACTGACGCACGCATGATTCCGACGAACTGATCATATCTATATCAATCACATCTACAAAGCGAATCGCGTCACGCAGGTGCTGACGATGTGCCGCCACCAAAACCCTCCCGGCAGCCGCAGAACACGACGGAACAATCTCAGTTGACTGCCGCGGCGCCGTCCACGTATATCGTGGCGCAGAGTCCCGAGGTTCTCGCGCAACTACTCAAGGATAACCAGGCCAGAGGGGTATGTCCCTCCGTGTACACGACACCCGCGTCCCCCTTCAACACCCTGGCGGTGCAGTTTCAGGACGAGGATCAAGTCCTGACCACCGCCGTCGTCTCCGACCTGCCTTTCTTCGACCCCGCGCTCTCCGAACCGTCCGTCACGCACGACACCCAGTCGGGCGATTCTACCCTGTCCGACACCAACCTAGACTCCCTCGACTCCGCGGACAACGCTCCCCTCATGTCGAGCCTGAGCATTTCAGACACGGCGCAGACGCAGTCGCCCGCCGCCAACCGAAAGCAGCAGAAGGTTAAAGAGATGCAAAACTTGTATGCGGTTAGCTCGAAGGTGGTCGGTAGCGTCACGGGGGACCTGTACTCCCCCGTGCAGAAATTCCCCGCGTCCTCCAGCGCCGTGGCGGCCGCCGGCGGTGCCGTGACCGCGGTCGTCGCGACGGGCAACGCCTGCGGCCCCGAGATATACGGGCCGGTCGCTAGTTTCACCCAGAGCTCGGCTATCGTTGGTAATCTCAGTCAGAGCGCTAGCGTAGGTGGTAATTATGGTGAGAACCCCGGAAACTTTGGTCCCAGTAGTTTGGGCAGTGTTGTCATACCGAGTAGCAATCAGGCGCAGTTCGCGAGCGGCTCGCATGCTCAAAGCCAGCCAGTTGGTTACGGTAACTTCGCGGCTACTAACAACGCTAGTCAGGTATTCGCTGGCGGTCAGTCCACGAGTCAGAATGCGAGTGGCGTGCAACAGAATGTTAGCAGCAGCGGCGCTGTTGGTGGTGTTGGTGTGGGTGGCGGTGGTTGTGTTGTTAGTAGTGGTAGTGGTGGTGGTAGTAGCGGTAGCGGTGGTAGTGGCAATGCCGCTGCTGGCGTGTATCGCAACATTAGCTCGGCGAATGTACCCAATTCCACGTCGAGCGCGGAATGTTTGTACGGCCCGGTCCTGAAGTTCCGCGCGCAGAACGTCCAACCCCAATCAGCCGGCCCGATCGAGTTGAAGCCTGTGAACGCGTCAGCCGGTAATTACGGCCAAACTGGAAGAAGCAGCCTGGTCTACAGTCCCACCCCGGCGCAGAGTCTACAGTCGCAGCCGGCATATCCGCAGAATTACCCACATCAGCAGATCTACTCGAACATCGCCCAACCGGGCCAGCAAGCTATGTATCTGCCACAGATGCAACATGTGCAGAATATCGCGCGGCAGAACGCCGTTCCGCAGGCCGTGTCGTACGCGGTGATACAGCACACGAATCATCAGCAGCAGCAGCCCCAATTGGCCGGCCCCAATCCGATCTACACGGCCCACGCGACGTCCGTGTCGCTGGTTCAAGCGCAAAAGATGCACATGCCGAATTACGCTCAGCAAGTGCCGACTGGAATCGCCGGTCAGCCAGTGACTTGCCAAGTAACCGGCTCCAATCAGCCGGCGAGTCTCCCTATAATGCAGACCTCGATTCAGTCGCATTTCATGACACCGTCTGCCGTGATCTCACAGAACGTTCATCCAATTTCATCCGGCTACATCGTGGACCAACAACAACCGAGCTCACTCGGTCCGATAGATCACACTCAAATGCATGCTAGTGTCGGCAATATATCGCAAATAACGCAGCCTCAGATGGCAAGCGGCGTCGTGAAGGTCGCAAACGTGCCATTAATAGCGACGGGGGTCGCAAAGATCACCACGTTCGTGGCGCAAAAGCAAGACGAGCAGTTGACAAGCTCGACAGACGGCACGCTCTCCGGATCATTGATCTCATCCGCTGTCAGCGACAGCACCATGTCGTCTAGCAGCTCAATGACAGAGGAGGTACAACAAGATCAGGTTTGACCATGCCTCCTAGGAATGTGAACCGAAAAATGTACAATCGCGCCTTTTATATTCGCAACGCCGTATCGTTTTTTGGTTTTACTTTGTTTTTTCTCTCTTTTTTTTTCATCTGGTCTTTTTCTCTAATCTCTCTGATCGGACGTTCCCGCGATACACTGCGTGTCCGTCACTCAAGTCAAGTGTATCCGCTTCTGGTGTATGCGAGTGTTACACGCACCGGCTCACGAACGGACCTCGTCCTCTATCTTTCGTTACGATGCAATGCAATCTCAGGAAGAGACTTTCGTTTTTCACGGAGATCTTGACTTTGTCGTTTAGCAGGCTGACACTTGCATGGAGAATGGATGCCACTATATGAGTTGCCACAGTAATCATTTAATAAGCTGCATGTAGCGAGTACGAATGCACTATACAACGCATCTCTGTTCTGAATTGATTTTGCATCTCAAGGAATATGCATCTCTTTAATTTTTACTGTACATAGGTGTATATACCGTCGAGGAGCAATTGTAATATAAATCATTACCGTCTCCCTAATTTTGTAACAATAGCTCACTCACAAATACGTCGTATAAGAATGAGCTAGACCTATAATACGATGTTGTTTCCGCTGTTTTAGAGGAACGTGCACTCGCAATTGTTCGACAATCTGACTGATAATTTCAACAGTGGCATTGACGACGAGCAGAAGCTGCTGGAGCAACGACTGTTGGAGCAGCAACGGCAGTCCGAAGAGGATAGTCGCTGGCTCGCGAGAGAAGAGGTACGTTCGACAAATCTGCTTGACTACTTAAATTCATCATCAGTCGTTTAAACTCTAGTTTCCTTCTTCTCTTCCTGTAGAAACGCTTGTCGATCGCTACGAGTGGTGATGAAAGTGCTAGTCCCCCGGTTCCACGGTCAGTTACTCAATCACCAAGCCATGAACCGCATTCCGCTAACACTGGCTCTCTCGGTTCGGACAAAGGTTCCGACAAAGTAATCGTAGTAAAGGTAAACTGCCTGCGGAATTTCAACAATATATCTGGTCCGTGTAAATAGCAATTAATTCATCTCTTTTTTCAGAAAATGGAACCCACACCCACTGCAGATTTAGACAGAACCAACGATAAAGTATACGACTGCACGACAAGCGTCGTTCGTGCAGTTATGTCATTATCACAAGGTGAGAAGAAAACGATGACAAGTGACATATAGGAGTTACTTGATTCATGATGATGTTGTTGAGAGAAACTCACATCCCTAATATGTACGGTTATGTAAACAGAATTTATAAATTGCAGGTGTTCAACAGAGCAAGGCTGATCAGTATTTAGAACTAGTACATAGAGTAGGTATCGAATTGAGAGCACTGCTGTCTTCTGTGGATGTTCTTGTAGAAATATTGCCGATATCCGCACATCGCGAGGTTGAGATGGCACATAAAGTATTAAGTAAGGACATGGCGGAGCTCGTGGCCGCCATGAAACTGGCGCAAAACTACAGTACCACTACGTTAGATGCTGAATATCGGAAGTAACTATCTCTCTTTTACAATTATTTATACGTATGTGCATTGTCGTGAAACAGTCTGAGAGTTAATCAAACGTGATTTCTTCTCGCTTCAGGGGAATGCTTTCTGCGGCTCATATCTTAGCAATGGACGCGAAGAATCTCTTAGACGTGATCGATTCCATCCGTATTCGTTATCCGTATGTGGATAGTCAGATTTGCCAGAGGCAGAGCAATGTTGTTAACATGACACGGGAGTCCACGCCCGAGAATCGCATTCGCTCGAGTCAATCCGGCGAGCAATTTCTGAGAAGAAGCCAGTCGAGCGAACGACAAGCGCCGACCTTCCGACAAAGCCAAAGTGGAGACCTGTTGCACAGAATGGGTCAGTCCGTGGACCGATCTTCGCCGGTAAGATAAGCCTCTCGTCGACAACGTCGTTGTTATAACTTCTCGAAACTAATCTGTGTAATTTCCATGTGATGAAGTGAATGCGATTAAAATATGCCTCTTACTATACACAGGGAAGTCAGTCCGATGTCAATTCCGGCAGTAGTCTAGAAAGAAGGCATAACATAGTGACCAACAGCCTCGAGCGTAATTCGACCGCGAGGAGACAGATAGCTACTAATAGTTTAGAAAGAAAAAGACCGTCACTGACATGTAACATGGGGCCTATGAATAATTCCGTAAATCTACCACCGATGGTTCCGGTCACTTGCAACTTAGTGCAGACCGTGAGTCCCGTCATACATCCGAGCCAGTCGGTAACAACGGGCGTCAGTCAACAAGTGTTCGCAGCCAACAGCAAAGCTACAAACGAGACTCCGATAAACGACAGCTAACAACGAGGTGCCTTGAACTGAGGTAAACCACGATATCGCGCGCGCAACATCTTTTCCCATGTGAACGAAGCATTTGTCACTCCTAAACGTACTGATTCCAGGACTACTTCGGATCATTTGCTTAGTATGTATATAAATAGACGGCATCCTACCAAGTTACCCGTGTACACATCTACACGAAACATTTCAACAACGGGAGATCTAGTATTTGTGCTTTTTAGCTCTTTTTAACATTTAAATATGCAGGCAATTTGCATATAAGCGTACTTATAGATAGGACAGTATTCATTAGTTGTAGTAGTAGGCGATTTATCACTAGAGAATTTAAGTCACAGCTATATAATGAAATCACAACTCCAAAGCTTTAGGATTATCGTTACTATTTGTTACATGATAACTACATGTACGAGGTGACGCAAAGATAAATTTTTTCACGCGCAAGTAGATTTACGCGATTTATTGGGTTATCAGAGCTATGACGTTATTGAGAGAGAGAAGGGTCTCAATTTATTTATCATTCGCATTAACGGCACAGAGCTTAAAATTCACGCTTAAAGAGGATCTTTTTTTTAGTTTCGTTTGTGTCATCTCGTAGTCAGTTGGCGATACATATACATACATGCAAACGTATTTTAGAGCGTGCGTATGTGTATATGGTTATAAATATATATTTAAACGAACGCGAATTCTCTCTTCAATCAATATTACGCGAGAATATAATTTCTTGTAGGACGTAATCTTACAATGTTGTTTTTAATACAAGTTCGTAATTTCATAGTCTATTTCCTACATATAGGAGTACTATGGGGAGTGATTATAATGTAAAAAGTGAGGGCGAATGTTATTTCTATTAGATAATTATTTAATGATTCGTACAATTTTGCGACATTTATACGAGATGTTTTGATAAAAGGCAAAAACCATTTTTCAGCGAGTCAGTTCCTACGAGACGATATTTTTAAGAAGTTCCATCTTTACATAAGAATATCATTAATAGCTCATCAGTGCAGTTTGCGACGATATGTGCATATATACGGCGCATTTATGAAATTCACATCCAGATGTTCGAAAGACGAAAGAAAAGATACTCCATTTTACGATTAATCTTTTTTTGTGTTCTTGGGAAAGCTCAGTCTCTCACTCGCAAGGAATGTTCTTCATATCTCAGAATATTATGTTACGTTATATTGACACATTTTGCTTGGAACGTTATAATTGACATGAAGCGAGATTCTCGTAGTTTGTGAATTGTAAATTCGATATATTAAATGGTATGTGGCTTTAAAGATTCATGTGCCAAGGCGTGCTCGCATGCTCGAAAGAATATAACATTTGCTTTGTAAATTTCATTAAGTTAGAACGTGAAGCAGTTCTATCTCAAGAATTCGTAATGAGTATTTATAATTATTGATGGCATCTTTCTATCGAAAGTATGAACCGCTTCTTTAACTTATGTTGTGTGAGAGAGAGAGAGCGTATATTATATAAATGATATTTATTATGCTATATTTGAGAGAGAAACGATATGTTAGCGATCGAGCCAATCCCAATTTAACTGATGCATTTTGTAAAGTAATGACACGTATACTATGTATACACATTTTCTATAGCAGTCTTATCACTTTGGTTTCATATACCGAATTATATTACTTACTATTACGAGTATTTCTTTCAGGTTTATAAAAGACATTATTCTACAAGTCATATATAAATTTGGTTCCCAAATTTTTTTATAAAGATATTTATTTATATAGACAGATCTTTGTGTGTGTGTGTGTACTTTCCCTCAAGTTTTCCACAGCATTATTCATAAACGAAACGATTTTATTTTTACTTTGTATCATATATTGAGGTAAATTTTATTATTTGACACGTAATAGCTCATAATGAGATTACATCCAATTTAGGAATGGCCCAGGAATCATTCAATTCACTGTATTTCCAAGAAATATGTTATATTCAATTATATAACTATTGATAATGTCAAGTGCATTAACGAAAAATTTTACTTGAGCAATAGCGAGATGCTTCTATGATAAAACGGCAATTTCATAGTCAATGGAATGACATAATTGTTGGCCATTGAAATTAATAATTATTCTCTAATATATAACATTATGGTCTTTTAAGCGGTGAGATAACAACAATGTACCACCGATAATGTCGCTGTTATGTCGGTTAAGCAAGAGATGATAAAAATAAATCATATGTAATCTCATTTCTCATCTTAAAAATATTTATAAATTGTGTAAATGTAACTATGTATCATGATCACGAGCAAAATAAACTGCGCATATGATTTCAACATTTTTTAGGTGTTGCTACAAATCCTATTATCCTGACATTAATATAAGTAATAAATAATACACACATGTATCGGAGATACATATCTATCTCTAAAATGTGTATCTATTAAAACATTCAACTGCGTATAAAACGTACAAAAAAATATTGTTAAAGTAGAAATTACTTGCCGTGTTTCGAGCTGTAATACTTTATCCCGTTTTTAGTGGAACATCTGGCGTATTTCGTTAGGAGTGCATTGGCATTCATTGTGCCTCTTGTGAAACGCCTAAAAGATGGCATAAGTTTATGATTACATAAAATACAAAACGAAGGTGTCATTTCCTACATACATGATATAAGGTGTTATTTCTTCGGGAGTCCATTTAGCCTTAATTTTAAAGAGTTCGTTAAGTCTGTCGTGAATGTTGTTCGGTAAATCCGTTTCCGGACAAGATACAACTTCCTTCTGCATCTTCGAGGTGTTGTATATTACAAGAGCCAACCCACATAAATATTCTTCTTTCGGCTGCATTTCTAAATAGCACAAATTAAAAATTACAAGTGTAGTATAAAGAAATATTTTTTTCTAAAATAAATTTAAAAGTTCATAAAGGTACACACTTTCGGGAGACCCATTTTTCCATATCTCCATAAATTCTTTGTACTCAGTCACGGGAGAAGCAGCCAAAAGAAACTTTGCTATCATGGCGCAACATTTCCCTTCATCGTATCTATAATATTACGCGTTTAAGAAATGTAAATCATTATTCTTAGCTAGCTTCTCCTTAAATACTATAAAATGTCTCATTAACATACATACTTGTACAATGAACTACCGTCAGTTTTCGTTTTTGTACTTGGACCTGTATATTTTTTAAATATTACGTTAAATACTGGCTCATAAATAAGTTCCTTCAAACATTCGTAAGTATTCTCCTTATCTACTTCATCAAGCTCCCAAGATTGTTCTACAAAATAATCCAACATCAAATTCACACTTCTTCCTTCCACATCGAGCGACACGAGACGCAAATATCCTGAAAAGGGCAAAGTTTTAAGTTAAACAACATTATTCATATTAAAAGAATTTAATATAAAAATAAATACAACTCATAAACTGGCATACCATCTATATTAGCTATCAAAAAATCCTCCAAAGCTTGCTTTAACTCATAATCACTAGCTTGTAATTCATTCTGCAATCTTTCCCAAGTGTACAAAGTCCCTTGATCTATGATAGATTCATATTCCAATCCATTAAAGGACGATGGAGTAAGAAGGGTGGACAAATTTGTCAGATTAGGTTTGATTTCCTTTACCTAAAACATACAAATTAGATCTTTGCAATGAGTCTTTGTAATATTATATAATTAAACATTTCATACCAATAAATGTTGTGAATACCTCATAATACGAAGAAAATATCTTCCTTATATCTTTTCTCTCTATAATTCTATCAGTTGTTTCCTGTGTATATGTTGCCTCATTCAACTTCAAGTTTGGTACCAACAACCACGAATTGGATATCTCAGCTTCTTTAATTTCATAAGTCTGATTTTTTGTACATAACATAGCATCATCATGCTTACCGCCACGAAATGACACTCTATTATCATAAAATCATTTGTAATCATTTTACACTGTAGAATGAGAACTGTACTGTTAGTGTATAAAAAAAATCTTAAGTTTCTTCAATAAAACTTGACAATCATGAATATTATCTACAAACAAACAATCATGAGTATTATCTGCAAATAAACATACGTATCTCCTTTATTCAATTCTTCCATTATGTGCTTGTCTACTTCTAATAACATCAAATTATCAATCTTGTGATCTTGTACAGGATATAGACATTGTGTTACAGGATTTAATTCAGATTCTTTGATTGTAGCTAGGTCCAACACCAGACATACATCCTCCTTTGAGCGGATATTCCTTTACAAAAAAAATTGTATTTATATACATACACAATTACATATGAAATATAATGTAATTTTGCAATTAAATGTACGTGTAAATTACTTAAAGTAACTCTTATATAATGCTTGTTTACCTTTCATCAGTAAATTCCATTAACAGGTATTTTCTATTCTTTGTCCACTGTTATTTATTGATGTTTATTATTATTAGATTGTGTGTGCTATTAAGAATTAAAAAATATGCTTTATACGTTGCTAAGTTGAATTACTTTAAAATTTCTTTGATCCACGTTGAGATTTGCTACATAAAAATAAAATGATTTTTAAATTTCTGTTGAGTTGTACTACTTATAAAATAAAGGGTTTGTTTTCTGTTCCTGCACTACTGAACTAGTGGAATAAGTTAAAGTGAGACAAGTATATTTTTTCTCGCTCTAACTTACTACACCAGTTCAGCAATGCTGGAATGAAAAACAAATCTAAAGAATCACGTGTCTTATCACCACCATTCAGCAATCACCACAGATGTCTGATCAGGATTTTCAGGATAAATTAAAAAATGTCTTATAACCCATTTTCGAATTATATCATGTCTTCGAAACAATACAGAAAAAATGATTAACTAAATGCTGTTTATAGCCATCACTTCCTCGTTAAAGAAAGTGGCGGCTCGTAACGGAGACTTTGGAACTAATTTATAGAATAACGGGTTCAATCCACTAGACGCTTTGAAGCGCTATAAAGCATTTGTAGCATCTAGTGGATTGAAACCATTATTTCTGTAAATTAGTTCCAAAGTCTCCGCTACGAGCCGCCACTTTCCTAGGGAAATCAAGGTAGTGATGGCTATAAACAGCATCTAGTAATTTTTCTTTTAGAGGATCATTTATTGCTAAAAGAAAATTCAGAATACGGACCTACTGGACGCGATTAACGATGAGCGATGGGCGATATCCAATGAAAACTTTGCTTCAAATAAAAATGAGAGCTCTCATTGGATATTGTTCGTTATCCATCGCGTTCAATGTGCGAGCCCCATCAGTTTTTAGGTGTGTTCGGGGAGCACTATTAGCGCTATTCAGCGCTACCGTGTCATTCTATCCTAAAGCCAGCGGCATGCTAGATTGCTTGCTGAATGGAATACTCTGTTCTGATTGGTGCATTTCTGAAGACGGACCAATCAGAATAGAGTATAATATTTCCATCCAGCGCGAAAACAAGTCACATTGTGTGCCGCTTTAGTTACGTATATTATAGTATTTCAGTATTGGCAGTGAATTTCGGAACGCAGCCTTTATTCCTGAACACGTGGGAACATACACGTGTGTGAATCAAATTTATTTAGCATTATTGATCAAATGAGAAATGTTAAACACATATTAATAATCACTAAAAGTATTTTATTTGTGGAGAAAGGCTTCAAGTATATTGAAAGAAAAAATTTTGTTGCACTTAAAAGTTCTTAAAACTTGCAATATACACAATAGTTTTTATCTCAAAACTTTCATCATGTACTGATGTACCTCAGTAATTTCTATTAAGAATTGTGAAGGAATAATAAGTAAAATGGGCTTGACTAAACAATACCTAAGATATGTTCCAGCAGGTAATACTAACATAATTGCAAGCTGTCGATGCAATGTTATTTTTGTAACATTAGAAGGACAAGAAGGAAGATTCATAGCTAGTGCAGCATGTGAACATGTGTTTATCTGGGATTTACGGCTTGGTGAGAAGGTATTTAAAAACAAAAAAATATAAAACAATAGTATATGTAATTCACTATCTCTTATTCTATAATATGTAATAATTACAGGCACAAGTTCTGTCTGGTGAAAAAGTACAGGTGACACACCTAGCTGCATCACCTGACAAAAAACATATTGCTGTTGGTTACGCAGATGGCACAGTGAAAATCTTTGATTTATGCTCTGCTGAAAATATTAGTATATTTGTAGGACACAAGTCTGCAATTACAACATTAGCATATGATGCTTTAGGTCATAAATTGGCCAGTGGTTCTAATGTAATATTTTTTTTACAAATAGCTGTATTAATAATTATAAGTATTTTTGTATGACATTTTTTTTAATAGGATACAGATATCATTGTCTGGGATGTTGTTGCGGAAACTGGAATATGTCGATTGATTGGACACAAAAATGTTGTAACTAAATTGGTGTTTATGAAGGAACATAATATCCTCATTAGCTCTAGCAAAGATACTTATGTGAAATTTTGGGATTTAGACACAGAACATAATTTCAAAACCCTTGTTGGACATAGATCAGAAGTATGTTATTTAATTATAATCTTATGTATATTTGTTAATTATATTATTTTTACTAGTTATACAGAATATTGATCATAATAATCTAATGCAGGTTTGGAGTTTTGTATTAGTGAAAGATGATAAATATTTAATAACAGGATGCAATGATACAGAACTGCGTGTTTGGAAAATAACTTTTGTGGATAACAAAAATATTGAATTTAATACTGCTACAAACGATATAGACCTCAATGAGGAAAGTATAGACACAGATATGGTATGTTTATTTATGTATGTTATAACTACATGTTTATGATGCAAGCAGTCTTTATGTAATGAGATTAAAATAATGTACATAATATACATATAATATATTCTTGTAGAAATATCCTATGAGATGTGAAAAAATTTCAAGTATATTAAAAGTTGGACGTGGTCGAGTCATCTCGTTACAAGTTGACCCTACGTGTAAAGTTATTGGATGTTATGGGGTTGGCCATATTGTAGAATTGTTTTCTCTAGTGCCCGATGATAAAGTAAAAGAAAAATTTGCAAAGAGATTAAAAAAAAGGATAAAGGCTCAAAAGTGAGTTAAAACTTTGGATTTCTGTGGAGACTTTTTACAAACATTTACAAACATTTAAATATTTTTTGTTAATAGGGAGGGAAAGGATGTAGAGAAGGAACTACCAAATGCACCGACTTTGGAGGATGAGATAAAACGTTTACCTGCCTTTAAAATATCCAGTAAAATCAAAGGGCTTGATTTAATTATAGGCAAAGGAAACGAACTCAGAGTTAGTAACAGCATAATAAGAATTTCAACTCACTGTCAAATTAAATTTTAATTTGCCAATTTTTTTGCAGATATGTGTTGGAGCTGATAATAACTCAATCGAATTACATTCTTTATATATGGATATGAAGGACGCTAAAGTGAATAGTTTGCGTTCTTTAATGATACACGGACATCGCACGGACGTGCATGCCCTTTGTTTCAGCTCTGATAATTTGGTATTCGCTACTGTTAGTGGAGATTCAATTAAATTATGGAACAGGTAACAAATAAACATATCATATAAACATATTATTAATAAAGAAATAGATATCAGTCTTTTTTTAACATGTTATAATTTTTCAGGCCAACATTGTCGTGCTTACGCACAATACAGTGTGATTATGCTTTGACGGTAACATTTGTGCCAGGCGACAAACATCTGATTGTCGGTTTAAAAGACGGTAAAATGCTTATCGTCGATATTGGATCTGGCGATATTTTGGAAGAAATACCAGCGCATTCCAAAGAACTTTGGAGTGTGGCATTATTCCCCGACTTGGTAATATTTTTTTCAACAAAAATATTCTGGCAACTATCATTTAAAGCTAAACGACACTTTCCTGCAAATAGAAAGGGGTTGCTAGCGGCGGCGGTGATCATACTGTAAAATTTTGGAACTTCGAGCTCATTGCGGATTCTAACAGTCAAATCAAAGCGAAAGTACTCTCTGTTGTACATACGAAAACGCTTACACTTGAGGAGAGCGTACTGTGCGTAAGAATAAGCCCAAACAACAGACTCCTTGCCGTTTCTCTAATGGACTGCACTGTTAAGATCTTTTTTGTGGACACTTTCAAGGTACAGTCTTAATGTACATATGCAATAGTTTAAACTTGTTGCTGTATCAACACTATTAATCGCCACACTTTTTTTATTAATAGTTCTTTACGTCGCTTTACGGACACAAGTTACCAGTGCTGTGTATGGACATATCCAGCGACTCTACTCTCATAGCGACTGGTTCTGCTGATCGCAACGTTAAAATATGGGGTCTGGATTTCGGCGATTGTCACAAGTCCATATTTGCGCACGACCATTCTGTTACGGGCCTGTCGTTTGTACCTGGTACACACTATTTCTTCACTTCTGGGAAAGACGGCAAAATCAAGCAATGGGATGCCGACATATTCCACAAGATTGTTACATTACAAGTAATATACTGTTTTGAGTATCCATATAAATCAGCGTATCAATGATTCAATTGCATTATAATTAATGGCATGCAATCTTCGCAGGGACACTTTGGAGAAAGTTGGAATTGCTGCATTTCTCCAAACGGCGTTTACGTCGCGTCGTGCGGTTCTGATAGAGTGATAAGATTGTACGAAAAAACTGACGAACTTTTGGTACTGCAAGACGAAGAGGAGGAAGAAAGGGAGCAGCAGGAAAAGGAATTAGTCACTGGAGAAAAAACTATGGTGATGGGGCAGAAACAGCAGACGTTGCCTTCCAGGAAAACCGTTAGCAGTGAGAAGGCTGTGAGTTAAATCGATAAAATATGTAATGTAAGATGAAATTAAAACGTCAGTTTCACATTATGTATATTTTCACCAGGCTGAATTGATACTAGAATGTTTGGAAATGACCAAACAATACGAGGAAGAATCGAAAGTTACTTCAACCAACGCAGTGCCACCACTTCCTCTGTTAGCGCAGGGTTACAATTGCACAAATATGGAGGATTTCTTATTGGAGACTTTTAAACGAGTTAGAGCAAGGTAACATGCAAATGAAACTCATGATAACAATGTCGTGATAGCGAAAATGTAACTGTATTGTATTTCAGTGAATTGGAAGAAACGCTGATGCTATTGCCGTTCTCCGCCGCGTGTGATATTCTGCAAAGACTACCTGTATTGTTGAAAAGGGACTACCACACTGAGCTATTGGCTAAATTAGCTTTGTGCTTGATACAAGTTCATCATGGTCCCATCGTGGCTAATGGATATCTTTTATCCACGTTGGAGAACGTGAGGATACTTGCTATGGAAAAGATATCTACTTTGAGGGTAATAAAATTTTATTGATTATATTCCCACGCTATATAATTATAACAAAATTATTAATCAAATAAACTAATATATATATATATATATATATATATCTCGCAGGATACTGTTGGATTTAATTTACATGGTATGGCATACATGCAACGTGTGCTTGAGGAACGAGAAGGAATCAAACTCTTCAAGGATGCTACTAAAAATAGCAAACAAAGAAACAAAGTGAAAAGAAATAAGGAAAAGGCTGTTAAGAGAGCAGTTATGAATCTGTAAATCTTAACATGAAAGTTTTTGTATGTAAATACGATTACTAAGTTGTGATGTTTTATATTGATTATAAGAATAAATAATGCATTAGTTATACAGGGTCTTTTTAAAACTTTTTTACAGCGTAGACAATATTTATTATATTGAATAAAAAAATGTTTAATAAACATTAAAAAATTAATACTTTCAGTATTATAAATGCAAATGTAATAGAATATTTCGGTTTTAATAACGCAAGTTATTTGTTGCTACAAACTTTTTTTTGAACACTGTATAAATTGACAAACAGAAATGTGTTATTTTACCTAAAAATTCCTTCCAGTTTTTTTTCACTGAGAAAATTAGAATTCTCGTTTAGCGACCTCCGTCGTGATTCATTGGAATATTGCGCAGACATGTGATTTACGATCGGTAGGTGTCGACCAGTCGCAAAACAATAAAAATATTACGAATTCCGATAAAAGTGTATGTACATATATGCACACATATCGATAGGTTGACTGTTTTGTTAAATAATAAAGTATGCTTGATAGAATCTTTCCGATATCGCGCGTTTCCAGCTGGATTAAACGCGGATCAAATTGACCCACACACTTGTGTAATATGTGTGTAAAATATCACAATATAACCTCGCTAGTATGACAACACGAAGCATGGCCCAACCACCCTTTGCTCGCGCACGAAGGTAGAGGATGGATCACGAGGACGAGTTTCTTAATACTTTCTTCACGTTAGTCGCACAGCTGTGCTCCGATAAGGCTAAAGAGTCAGTTGTGAGTAATGAATAAAGATCAGGATTGTTTTACACAATGGCATTGTTTTACACTCATTTATGTAAAGATACAAACACACATACATAATGTGTCGTGTATTTACATTAAAAAGATACGTGTAAATTTAATTTAGGAAAAAGAGAGGGAATCATGCAAGCAGATGCAAATGGGTCCATGGGGAATGCTTTTAATGCATTTACCACAAATAGCTGTAGCAGAGCGTTCTTATGCAGATTTAGGTTTTCTTCATACAAAAAATAAAGGCTTTCTTAGAAAAGATGTATGTATTTTAATTGTGGATGGAATCGCCGTAATTGACTCATTTAGTTGAAACATGACATCGATATTGCCCGCAGAATTCCTTAAAAACTGTATATGAATCATTGAAGTCTGATTTAAAGAGGCTGGAGGAAGTGACCAGAGGGACAAACTCCATTGGCGCGACAGTTGCAAACGTTTCCAACCAACTCTGCCAATTCATCATGGCAAGAATCCAGCTGATAGATTTGTCAGTATATTAGCATTTTGCTTCTCTATCTCTAATCTCACATAAGATTACTTTATTGCAGCTATGAGAAGATGTACAATATGAGTGTAAATGGTAAAGTTATGAAGCATCAAGAATTACTACAATATATAGAAGGAATAGTAGAATGGCATTTGTTATCTTGTTCCCATTTAGCACTTGCTGCTATTAAGACAGGTTTAACGTGAGTGCATTGGTACCTTTTTGTTCAGTCATTTAAGTTATAAGCTCTTTAATATGTTGTTTGCAGAAAATTAGTAATTTTCTTCACTCAGGTTGGAATGCGAAATATTAGTACAATTAATGAAGGCCCAGGTAGAAGTACAAAACTGGAGATTTCTACCAACACTGATGGCTCTCTATGGTGCACAAACACGAATGTCAGCCTGGGAAAGGACTTTGCAGAGTAAAGAGGTTAGCGATGTACACCAAAGGCCAGAAGGCATAGAAATATCTCATTTGACACTGAAAACTTCTTTTCAGTCCTGGAAATTAGGCTTTGGAGCAACCTTTCTTAAAGCAAATCAACAACCAGCATTGTATCAGTGGTTGGTGAAACTTCGCAGTGCCATATTAGCTAAGTGTTCTTTGTATTTTCACACTACTCTAAGCCAACAAGCTAGTCCTGGAGAAATGAGGAGTATCATGAGCAAGCAGAATGGAGATTACTATCACAAGTAAGACACACAAAAATAGGTATCATCTTGTTGCCTGCACTATGTGTAAACATTGCTAACAGCCTGACTCTTTTAGAATGCAGACTTTTCAGCGAAAGCATGACGTACTAGCGGTACTAATAATTTTCGACTCCAGAGGAACTGAAGACTCAGGCTCGGGATACAGACATCCGGCACGAGTAGCAGATATATCCGAAAGTTTTCCCGTCGTCGTTTGTTGTCCCAGTGTAAGTAGAAATTGATTTACTCATCATTGTAAATGTTATCACAAATTTATCAATAGCTGGATAAGAGCTCAAACTGACGAGTCACTTTGTGGCGCCATAGAGAAGCGCCTCAGAGATACAGAAGGTGCCTCACAATTAATGACACATCCGTTGTGTATAGATAGAATTCGACAAATCGAACACGAAACTCTTTTATCATTTCGCAATCATGTAGAAGAAATTTAGAATTATTAACTAAAGAAGACTAGTAAATATGTGATCACGCGCGATAAGAAGCTGTGATGGCGATGTCTGCAGTTGTGTTACATCAAACTGAATAAAAAATTCTTCTACCATTTTGCAAATAACTATGTAGACTTAATTATTATAATTAAAGAAGATTTATATATATATATTTGAAGCGTTTACAAAATGACTCATCTGTTCAAACACTAAATCTTCACATAAAACATAGTATTCTTTCTCTTACATGATTAATGTTCTTTCCAGACATTCACGCAAAAACGATCGGTACATTTGGATAATATACAGACGAAGATAAAAGAACGTCAGTCGGAACTTCTTGCTATGGACAAAGTCATTTACTATAAAAGCATGAAGGTACAACGATTAGGAAATCATTTTCTGATAGATCAATTTAATCGCATTTTAATCGAAGTATGTCGGTAGGATCTGTGTACGTACGCTTTCCACAACACCGATCCCCGAATGACTCTTGTGGTTGTGCTCGAGAATGGAAAACAAAGAGACAAAGAAACTCACATTACGTCGTTCTTGACGGATTTATCCATGCATATCAGGTGTAATAAAGTATACGAGTGTCTGAAATTATCAAAATGAGTGATCGTACGTGAAAGCGTATCTATAAAACAAAAAGAGGGGAAAAGAAACCATCAGACGGTACCAAAGACCTGAATATATTATAATCGAAAATTGATTAATGAAAATTTATGACACACATATATATATATATAGTTGTATAAAATTATAAATAAAGTGTATATTATCGTTTATATTAATTAATGTGTAGAGACGATCGTATTTACTCCATAAGTATTTGTACAAACATAAAATCAATATAATTTCGGTAATAGATGAGAACTTTGTAGGCAAAATATTAATTTTTTTTTTGCAAAGTACGTCTTTTTTGGTTGTACAGAATTACAGAAAACTGTTTTTAAATTAATGCTTTGCATGAGAGTTTATGCAAAAATAAACAGAACAAATACTTTTTTAAATATGTATAAATATTTCTTTAACATTTTTATCATATATTTTATAATGTAACGTCCCAACTGATATATTTAAAAAAAAAAATAGGTAATTGTCAAGGAGACGAGTTTCCGTTTGCCTGAAATTTTAGAATAGTGTATATTTTATTGCACAAAACACGAATATAACAATTAAAATCGTCGCTCTTAAATAAAACAAAAGTTATAAAAAATTTGAAAATTTGAAATAGTTTAAGAATATTTAAAAATATGGACTCTCTAATTTTGTAATAAAGCCCTTGGACCTTCACGTACAAATTGATATAACCGTAATGTAAGACGTACCATAAGAATTGACCAATTACGATCGAGTATTCATAAAAATGGTGACCTTACGATTCGACGATTTTCAACATAATTGGTCAATTCTTATGGTACGTTTTACTGTATGTCAATTGCCTGTATGAAAGCCTTGCGCCGAAGTTTGCAAATCAGCTGATCGTCGAAATCCAAGTGCCGAATCAAAAACAAAAGAAAGAGAGCGTGAACAGCTGATCAGATGTGGCTTTGAAACAAGTATGGGGATTTGAAGGGCAGGTTAGGACCGCACACGTGCGTCGTAATTAAAATGTTTACTCGAATCCCGATAGTGCACGGTCAGATCGTTCTGAGATATCGTTCGTACGTATTGCAGTTGTACCGATCATGGAATCATCGAAAGAAGAAGTACAGACCGACGCTGCGTTGATCGAGAGCCTGACGGCGGAACAAGGCTCGCGATGCGAATCACCGAAGCGCGGTACCACGTTGTCCACCAGCACGAGCAGCTTCGAGGCCCTGGACCCGCACGATCCGAATCTGAGTCGTCTGGCGAACACCATGTTTCAGAAGACCGGTGAGTACCTGCAGGAGGAACTCACGGCCACTCACGCGGACTACAGATTACTGGAGCGCCTGAACAAGGAGACGATCGCGAAGTACACGGAACTGAAGATCATATCGTCGAACGTGGTGCAGTCGTTAGACTCGTTGAACGAGAAGTATCACAAGCTGCAGCCTATCCTTGACAATATCAATCAGATCGACGATAGCGTCAGCAAGTTGGAGCAAGCCGCTTACAAGTTGGCAGCGTACTCCAAACGACTGGAGGCCAAGTTCAAGGACTTGGAGAAGGACATGAAGAGCAAATGAGGAGTTGTAATAATGAAGATGCAAGGCTCATATGTGTATTTATATGTAATAAGATGTAATTAGGTCTTAAGTGCTAATTAATATGGACAATTATATAGAAAAGAAGGAAAACTAGCTGAGCAACAGTAAAATACCTCTCTCTTTTGTACAGTATATTTATTAGTTTATGAAACCGCAAACACTTTCCTAGACTTCCTGTAAAATTATGATATCGTGCATATTCTTACACAGGATAAGACATTCAGTAACTGGGGCATTCTATTTTTACAACTCTTGTGTGGATTTTATCAAATATATTCCCAAATATAGAGATTTATTATTATTTATTACTTATTATTTATTAATTATCTTTCTTAAATCCCCATATACTTTGATATTTGATAAAATCAGGACAAAAGTGTCGGAAATAGATTAAGTGCTGGTTTCTGAACACTTTACCCTGTCATATGATGTTTATCATTGACTTATCAATTAAAAGATTTATCTTATTTCGTGCTTTACCAAGAGATGAATTTTTTCCTTCTGCAACGTGTTAAAACACTATCATTGTCCAAACAGTAATGATACAAGAAGTATAGATGCAGTCGTGAACACTTGTGAACACTCAGAAAAGGTTACACCTCACCGATTCTTTCGAAAGACAAATAAATATATATATTCTAAAAAAGATAGAAGAAGATGCAATATATATTTCGAGACTGAAGATTCGACTGAAGTATTACCTTTTCTGAACATTGCTATACAAATGCGAACCAAGAATAAATAATTGTACCTATATTTAACAAAAAAGAATATATTAGGTGCGCAATTTAATTCTCGGCCTTTTTTTTACAAAATTTTTCTTTATTTATAAAAAAACGAATAATTACCCAACCTTCAGAGTAATCCTTCTCACTTTTTACAATTGTCGCCGTCTTTCAGACAACTGTCAAATTTCATTTTGGAAAAAAGATGGTTATTTTAAGTCAATAAATTCAAAGATGCCTTTTTCGACTACTCAGCAGATGTAAAGTGTAAATCAGCTTTGATGTTGCAAAGATCATAAAATTATCTCTAAAGAGGTAGTAATCTGAAGGGGTGAGCTCTGGAGAATACGCAACGTGAGGGAGAATTTCCCAGCTTAAGTCGGAGATGGTTTCTAATGTTGTTTTTGTTGTGTGTGGCCGCGCGTTGTCCTGCAGCAAAATCACTTTCCTTCTCCCACTGCTGGTAAAAGGTCTTCTCCTCAAGTGCGTCACTCACTCGAATTAATTGTAGATAATAACGCTCAGCAGCAACAGTTTGACCGGGTTTGAGCAACTTACAGTGAATAACGCCTTTCTGGTTTCACCAAATACACAGCAAATTTTTTTTGCACAAATGTTTGGTTTTGCAGTACTAGTCGATGGCTTAACTCAAGATTTTCGCTTCTTCGGATTGTCACAAAGTATCCACTTTTCATCACAGATCACTATCTTGTGCAGAAAGTCCTTTTTAAACCTTTGGGCTTAATACTTTTAACCCACTTTATGGCGGGAAAAAATATAAATTTGAATAGATGCTATCATTAAATTTTGGAGCCGAAAATTAAGTTGCGCACCTAATAATTACGTTTATACATTCGATAATATCAATGCGGTAAAAAGTTTAGTGTTGTCACCTAACGCAGCGGATAAGATTAAAAATCTTATGTTAAGTTAATGTTAATTTGCTCCTAATTTCACCAACAATAATATGAATAATTTTGCTAATAAAGTATAATCAGGGTACAAAACAAATAATGTATATTTGTATGAATAACCCGTTATCAGCGAATTGTTACACCTACTACAGTGTATTAACAAATACAAAATACCTAACATAGCACGTGGAATATTCCGCAGATTTGTGACATCGTAAACTCTCAACATAATAGGTTCTTGATATATTTATCGTCACGCAATGTTTCGTCGCACTAAAATGTCTAAATCGCGAATACGAGGCGACCATCAGAAGCAATCATTATTATGCTTCGATATTATGTCACGAAGTATCACAAATGCAGACGCAACATAAACGAGAATCGTTCTCTTTTCCTGTGAATTAGATTGCCGTGATACACGCCACTTCTGTTTCTGATGTCGTTTAGCAGTCTAGAAAATTGCCGGCCATCAACAGCTCTAGCGCGATTTCAGGTGCAATTGGGAATTCGGGGATTTCCGTACTACTGTTTGTATAGCGTACTTTGTATGTGAAGTACATACAGACTTTCTGTAGAACGTGTGAGCTGCGAATCGAAGAAAATTCACATTAACCTTCCTTTTTTACCAAGACATATAAAAGTATCTCAAACAGGATTGTAAGTAAAATTTTTAAAATTATCGTGTTTAGTTAACGATTTTAATATGAGCCAATTTAATTGGAAATCGTTTAATTGACAATCGATTTCAACAAATTCAATCGAGAATCATTTGACGATTGATTTCAACAAATTTAATTAAAGAACGTTCAATTAACGACTGATATCAACAATTGACGCGCGAAGAAAACTAAATATCGTCTAAATTAATATTTAAATTTAACAAACTAAATTAAGACTCCTGGATTAATGATTAAGCAGGAACTTTAATTAGTAAATTTAACAGATCTTATTAAAGATCGCTTAATTAACGATTAAAATTAGCAAATTTACTTAATGGTTTTTTAATTGAGAAATAAACTTAACAAATTTAGTTAAAGGCCGTTTAATTCAATTGACAATTGATGAGTTAATTAGAGACTGTTTAATAAAATTTGCTAAGTTCAATTGAACCTTTAATTCCTTTAATTAATTGACTTTTGATTGCTTTCATTCATATATATATAATATATATCGCCATTAAACGGTTCGTGATCAAATTCGTAGAAATCAATGAAACATCTTTGTGCTCATTTTCCTCGAATAAATAGTTGAATTGAATTGAAACACATTTGTTCAAATCAATCCTCAAATTGAGAAGAATTTAATTGACAATTTAAAACCATGATCTCTTACAATGCAGGAAGCAATGAATATCAGTGGTTTGAAGACAACAAATAGTCTATGCCTCTATCATGTACTTACGGAATTTCACGGAAATTAACTTCATTAGCTTCGTTCTCTGCAAATTGACCAGGACCACTTAACATCGCCTTGATAGTACCACTCGTCAATGCATGTTCTCGTTTGACAATAAACTCGTGCCCGTCACTACTGACAAGCTTCACGTACATTGCATTTGGTCCCTCGCAACCTCCATAAACAGGACCACTCTCTTGCTAAAATTTTGGAAAGGCCAGTTATATTATGTGCAGCATATTACATTCTCATCATGTACCAACTGTCGTCTATTATACAATATAAATTAGAAGCAGCAAGGAAACAAACAGCAGGATAAAACAAGAGGAACCGTTTTTTAAGCAGCAGAATTTAATTTGCAGAGATAGGTACCGCATGCAGGTCATTAGACGATCTGCCTTCTTCTTCTTCAGTCTTATCGACACTGTCTTCCTCATCGGGCTTGATCCAAAGAAAGATTAGTATTAATCAATATTTCAGTTTTACCAATAGCTTTTTTTTTGTTTCAGCTTTTCCCGCGAAAGGCAATAAGGAATAAGATCTTAATATATGACAGCACAGTCCAACATGTACGTTTTTATCATAGGAATACATTGTTACACATCCCGATCACCATGCGGAAATAAGAGCATGCAACCAAAATTTTTCTAAGTATACCTTTTCAGCCTGCATGTTCACATCATTTGACATGTTTGCTATTGTTGTATAAATATCCTCCTGAAACAAAGTAAATATAAATAAGCATGTATGTAAAATATATATATGTGGATAAAATTTAAAATTTACACTTTCATTTCAGAGATCAGTTATATTAAAAACTGTAATATTGATGCATTCCATGCCGGACCAACTTTATGTGATTTATTGCCTATGCCACATGAGTCATCAATAGCCTATGTTATTGCATGAGTGAAATTGGACATTTAATATTTTATTGATATCAATAACATATGTCTCATAATAATAAAAGTTGAAGACTAGAACTATAAGAATTCTGAACTTCCATTTGATCCATTTTTCATTTAATTTATTTAATCTAATTCATTTAACGATTATATTTCGTTTTAGAACCAAAATATCAAAGTTTGAACAGAAAGTCCAACACAGGTCACTGGTGACACAAAATATGTTAAGAGCGCCAAAAAACTGTTACACATGGAGTTACTGAATTAAAACTATTATGAATATTATTACGCGTAATTAAATGTTTATTTATATACCGATTTTTTATTAGTCATCATCTGGACAAAAAGTTAGGTTAGGGTTAGAGGTTGTACGAATATTTTTATAACTCGAGATATTTTGCGCAAACCCATACGTCATTTTGCAAATGTAAACAAGGTTATTTCTAGAGTAGTATTCGCTGCCGATAACAACTTAAAATGAGAGTTTGCTATTATTATCACCTGTACGCTATATCACTCTCGTGACTATAGTTAAAACTTTCTTTGTAATATTAGTTAAATATATTTCAGTTAAGTACGAATTTGATTTCGTTAACATACTGCAAAATGATAAATAGCATTGCATACCTCAGACAATAAATTCTCAATTATATCAGACTTTTTGATCACAGCAACGTTTGTCAGCAAACGTATCAGCTAATGAATACGACCACTAAATGTTGGAAGCTATGATACGATCTCGTTTTGTTGATAGAAACGACGGTAGCGCTTGCGGAGACTTTGAAACCAATAACAGGTGATTCGCGTTAGATTTCCAAGTGATACATCCAAGACAGAGTGGGATGTTCCTAGTTTCCAAGTAGTATAGCTCAACAATGAATCAGAACTTTTATCAAGTTTTGAATGAAAAAGAAAACTTGCAATTCTCCGCCTTCTCTCTCCCTTTAAATTAGTCGTGAATTAAAAAAAAAACAAAAAATATTCGTAAGAAATGTATACAATATATTAAAATAACACAATTTAATATCTTATTTATTACAAAAGAACTATAGAAAGAAATATTAAGTGTACAACTTTGCTTCCGCCGTTTTCCTATAGATGGCTTTAGCGGTAAGTGGTGGTCGAAATAAATAGATCATAGACGTCATACAATAAACTTGGGCATCTGTCAACATAACCCCATAGAAACATTAGTCGATTTGTGTCTGCATCATGAAGTTATTCTCGATTGAAAATGTCAGTTTACGATGTCAAATTCTCGTCATTTGCTGGAGATTTTAATTTTCTGCTTCAATATGAAGACATCTGCGGCTGAGGCTCATCGAATGCTCTCAAATACTTATGGTGAGGCCGCTATTAGTGAAAGAACGTGTCATGTGTGGTTTCAACGCTTCAAGGACGGTGATTTTGACGTCGAAGACTGGCATAGCGGTGGAAGAGAGAAGGTTTTCGAAGATGCAGAATTGGAGGCATTACTTGATCAAGACTCGTGTCAAAATCAAGAAGAATTGGCACTATCATTGGGAGTGACTCAACAAGCCATTTCAAAACGCCTCAAAGCCATAGGAATGATTCAGAAGCAAAGAAATTGGGTGCCGTACGAATTGAAGCTGAGAGATGTTGAACGGCGTTTGTTTGCTTGTGAACAGCTGCTTGAAAGGCAAAGACGGAAGGGATTTCTGCATCGCATTGTGACTGGGGACGAAAAATGGGTTCATTACGATAACCCCAAGCGCAGAAAATCATGAGCCAAACCGAGTATTCACGGCTCCAAGGTCATGCTCTGTATTTGGTAGGACCAGCTCGGCATAGTGTATTATGAGCTGTTAAAACCGACTGAAATAATCACAGGCGATCGGTATCGAACGCAATTGATGCGTTTGAGCCGAGCATTGAAAGACAAACGGCCGCAATACAACGAGAGACACGATAAAATGATTTTGCAGCATGACAATGCTCAACCCCATGTTGCGAAAGTGGTCAAGACATACTTGGAAACGTTGAAATGGGAAGTCCTACCCCACCTGCCGTATTCTCCAGACGTTGCTCCCTCTGACTATCACTTGTTTCGATCAATGGCACACGGCCTGGCTGACCAGCACTTCCAGTCTTATGAAGAAGTAAAAAATTGGATCGATTCATGGATCGCCTCAAAAAATGACCAGTTTTTTCGACACGGGATTCGTACGCTGCCCGAAAGATGGGAGAAAGTAGTGGCCAGCGATGGCCAATACTTTGAATCATAATATATAACCAGTTTTTTACAATAAAGCCTCGAATTTCGGAAAAAAACGGCGGAAGCAAAGTTGTACATAACTGTACATATAGCGCAAGAGATAATCAATTTTTAACCAGAACCATTCATTTATGTCAAATGCCATAAAATATATATATATATGGATATATGAATGGATTTAGTCTAAACATTTTGTTGAACGAAAAAATGACACTGGTAGAAATTGCTTCTCTTGTTCTTTTTTTTCTTTCTTTCTTGTAATATACAATTTCCATTTTTGCATTGCATTGAAGTATGGCAAAGTTTATTTTCGCATTTACACTTTGTGTCAGAGTAAGTCACTTGTGTGTGTGGGTGTGTTAGAATAACTTACTTGAAAGGGTGTTCTCCACCACTATAATATATGTACGACAAGAACAGCTTTAGGTATTCAAGTAATCATCGCATCATTAAATGTTCTGCAAATACTGATTACGTTGGATCTTCTCTTTCTTGAATTGTCTGTTGTCAATATCTTTTAACATACTTGTAAATTAATTACATTGATCTTCCGCAACACCGATAAAACAGCGTTATTATTTGCGCGCGCTCGATGTTTATATAAATATTATAAAATAGCCCTAACAAATTTAACTCGCTATTGCTATTGTAAATCTTATACATGTTATCGATAGTACATTGGCATAGCGGTAAATCTAGTTATTACAGTTTTGCCACTCCACATTCGGGAACTGTGTGCTGGAAGCATATATGAAAGCATATTTAAATTGATCGCTATTATCGGCGTCATTCACGTAAGGAAGTCCTGCAAGGAGGAACGTTCACAGAAGGAACATGTCGCGAGCAATATGCGTTATCTATTACGCTGTGCAATGCAATTCCACCATTATTGCAGTTCTCCACTGTAAACTGGTTGTGTTAGCGCGTGTCCGGTGTCTTGCTTAGCTTCATTACCTAAGCATCCAACTTAAATAATGACCATCCAATTGATTTTCTGGATTGTCCCTAATCTGCACGTCGTTCAGTTCTTGAAAATTGCGAACAGTTCGCAGTTCTGTGAAGTTATTGTTCACTGGATGACCCCCATGCGTCCTCACCTCCCTCTTTCTGAGAGCGTCTTTCACTAATCTTTGTCTACGCTCATCTTCTGTCTCAATAGCGGACCTGGTGAATCTCATTTCCCTGGCCCTCAAAGCGTCTCTGCGCAATCTCTCTTTCCTTTCCTCCTCTGTCTCCTTGGCGTACTGATTCAGTCGAGCTTCCCGTCTCTTTGCCGATTCTTTGTTCAATCTTTCCCTCCTCTGTTCGGGAGTTTCGCTTGCGTACATAGACAATCTCTTGACTCTTCTTCTCTCGGCTTCGCGATCCAATCTCTTTCTCCTGTCCTCTGGTGTCTCGTTATACATCCTATACTCCCGTTTTCTCGCTGCTTCTGCGTCGAGCCTCTTCCTTCGTTGCTCAGGTGTCTCGTAATACATTCTCATTTCGCGCCTTTTCGCCGCTTCCTTCGCCAATCTCTGTAAACGTTGCTCCTCGCTCTCTTGTTCGTACAGTTTCCTCCGTTTCTCTCTCATGCACTCAGCCTTTTTTCTCAATCTGTCTCTGTAATCCTGTCCGACGGACTTTAGTCGGACGTGTTTCTTAGACTTCTTGGATACCTTGGTCTTCTCCTCCTCCAGAATGTTTCTGGCGTCTGTTAATTGGCCCCTGCGTTTCGTTATCGTGATTATGCTAGTATCAACGTCAATGGGAATCTGTATATTCTGCTTAGTATCCTTTAAAACTCTCAGACGTATGCTGGCGTCATTGTCGCTATCGCTCAACCACTCGGCGGTGTACAATGTACCATGGCCTATGCTCTCCTCTCTCTTTATGTTGAGATTAAGCCCGTCTAGAAGCTCGTTGGGTATTGTCACTGTGGAGATGTTGTAATTAGACGTCTGTATCTGCTCGTCATTCCTAATGAACACCTCCGTCGGTTTTTGAAACTCGATATCGATGGAGTCAGAGTCCAAAGTGTCCAGGTAAATTGGATCCGTTAGTACGTTAGTAATGGCGCCACCCTGTATATTACCTAAAGTAGAATTCGCCGTATTCGATTCAGTCGTTTCATTTCGCACGCAGTGACTTTTATTAATTATCTCATTGGTTATACTGTAGCTCTTGGTCTCCTTGATCTCAATAGCACAAAAGTGTTGCGCTGCTGTGACTATCTCCACTTCATTGAGATCTTTCTGGGGTTCATTGTTCTCCCGTTTGACGTACACTGAGATCAAATTTGTTGACTGATTTCTTATATCTTGTACATCGCCTTCAGATATTTCCATGTCCCCGTGGAGACCGGCTAATATAGCGTAAACACTGAAATTATATAATAATATATTTTCAATCCAATGTTTTGTATTTGTAGTGCTTTAAGTACTATTTACTGTAATATTTTCAATCAAATTTTTTGCATTTGCAGTATTTCAAGTACTATTTACTATAGTATTATATTATTTATTATAATATATAGTATTTACTATAGTATTTATTATAGTATTTTGAATCAAATGTTTTGTATTTGTAGTATTTTAAATACTATTTATTATAATATACTGAATCAAATCACTATCGCATTTAATTTAGGATCCACTGAATGTTGCAAATACTTGAATCGCTATAGATTAACTATGATCTTTCTTTGCAAGCATTTATAGCTTCAAGTATATCTTACTTCAAAGCATTTATAACTTCAAGTATATCTTACTTCTTATTTATCAGCTATATCATATTTGTAACGTATTCTAAAAATACATTGCTCACAACAATCTGAAGACCATACTGAATCTTCTTCTTCTAAACGAGCTGGTTACGTGATCATACTTAGTGAATAGTTCTAGAACAGGATGAATATGACAGGTTTGTAAACTTGATGTAAGAACCAGCAGTTAATACATTGCATTCATACCTTTACTAAAGATCAAGATCACATCCAAGACCAAGTATTGAACACTTGAAGCATCTATTTGGTGATAAGAAGGTACTCAAAGGAGTGATACTTCTGATTGTTTTGAGCAGTATGTAATGAGAGAATATAAACAAGATTATTTGCAATGTGAAAAGGCGAATTTTAACAATCATCTTGTTACTCTGATTATCAACAGAATTAAAGTCAGACGTTAGGACCCGGCTATTAATCGCGACAGGTCCTCTGTATGTACCTGCGTATCGTCTGCTTGACAGCTGATTCAAGATGGCAGCGTGGATGGCACTCTAGAGTCGTGCATTTCCGCGTTATCCATCAGCATCACGCTCGATGCGATTGTCCCGTTTTATCTTTATGTCACATGGTAATGCTGTGAGTCGCGCTTGAACTCAGCACCCGTCGAATTAATTGCGCGACTCTACCCGAAATTCATTCGAACGTCGAGCGCAGCCCGTCCATCCACGTCTTTCGTCATCGCTAAAGCGAAGAAACTAGAGAGCAGACCGTAGGTAATGTTTCCGAAAGGAAACTACGGTCATAGTTAATTTGGCGCTGCAGTCTTCTCACCCATGGTATTCTTATAGGGTGCGTTCAGATTCTTTATTCGGGTGCACTCTATTACTAAAAACACTATAGTATATGTTATAGAATTCTAGTAATAGAATACATCCGGGTGTGGAATCTGAACGCAGCCATAGCGTGTTCGACTGGCCCTGAGTTAATCTCTCCGAGAGCGATGACGTCATAAGTCTCTACTAGCCAATCATAAAACTTCTAAGTACTTGTTCGACCAATAAACGTAGACTGAATAATCCAAGTGGGTTAACCTAGCATCAGTCGAACATGCTATTAATCCGTAGTCTGAGACGGACTTAAGACTTGTTCATAATATGTTATTATATTTAAAAATTGTCTTAAATAAATTCTCAAATATTTTTAACTAGTAATATAATATGTACAACATCCATACGAATCATTTTATTGGCTAACATGTTTTTAAATATGTATTTAAGACACGATCTTAAATATAAGAGTGTACTGTAAACAAGCTTTAGCATGCACTCAGTGCGCACTAATGCAAGCTACCGAATTCGTTGTAAGGCATGGTCTACATAGCCAATCATTGGCCGATTATTTTTGTAATAATCAACTATGATTGGTCAATTCTTATGATTCATGGCTTACGACGATTAGTGCAGACCATATTTAAAGGCTGGTTTATGGCCAGTATTCATAATCGAATCTTATTTCAAGACCATCTTAAGTAATGTTTTAAGATACGAATACGGTTCGGTGATTGGTTCATAACATCTTAAGACAGTACTTAAGATGATCTTAAATATAAGATCGGACTATGAATACCGGCCTATGATGGCCGTAATCCGTTAACTTATGCCGGAACCGTAAAAAATTGATCAATCACAGTCGATTTAATCTTCTATAATTCGACTATGATTTTTTTACAGTTCCGGCATAAGTTAATGGATTATAGCCATCATGAACCAACCTTATGATCTAGAGCAGGGATTTGTTCGACACTGCAAATGTTTCGAAGTGTTAAATAATACGTGTAAAGTAATACGGATAGTCTGTTTATCGCTCTGAAGTACTTGCAGGATCTTACTCTTTTATTCTTAAATACCGCCTACAGAGAAAAAACTAAAGTTAGGATCCATTTGGTATTGCAAACGCTTTAAAGCGCAAAGATCTTTCTAGTAGTTCCTTAGATTGTGATTGGTCTATGTAGCGTTTTGCCCTAAACATTGAACATGGCGGACGGCAGCCTTATCGATGAGCGCACTGCGTCGAGCGTTACCCGCGCGCGCGCTTAAAAAGCCGTCATATGCATTTTCAAAATTTCTCAAGCGAGCTGAACGGTCGAACGTGTCAAATGGACGTGTCCACCGGACGCACGTAAGTTTCGAATTTCGATCACTTTTTCGCATTGACTCGATGTAGGAATCCAATTCCTATGTTACTGTCCTTGCAGAGGTCCAAATCCGCTTCAGACAATGACGTTTCCACGCTGTAAGATTTCATTTCCCGAGGTACCGAACATAGCCAGTCGTTCAACGACTCAATGGATCTGTGCCGAACGTCGAGGTACATTCACGATTGATTTTCATCCGCTGCGTTGATATAATATTTATGCAAATTTCTTTGATATGATTTCCTACATGAAATGAGATATCAAAACAAGATATTATAGACAAGTATAAGAGAGCTCAGAAAGACTCTGTTAGGGAATACTTGAGAGATTACTTAGCACACACATACATTCTCACATACATATACATTATATTATACGTATTACATAAGTATATATTAGCACGTACACATACATTCTCTCTCTCTCCCCTCTCTCCTCTTCTCTCTCTCTCTCTCTCTCTCTCTCTCTCTCTCTCTCTCCCATTCTTTCACATATACGTATCCATACACACACACACACACACACACATATATATTATTTTAAGAGATTACTTAGCACACACATACATTCTCACGTACACATACATATATATTACATTATACGTATATATATTAGCATTATACGTATATATATTAGCATGTACACATACAATCTCTCTCTCCCCCTCTCCTCTTCTCTGCTCTCCTCTTCTCTCTCTCCTTTCTTTTCCTCTCCTCTTTCTCTCCTTTTTTCTCCTCTTCTCTCTCTCTCCTTTCTCCTCCCTCTCTTTCTTTTTCTCTCTCCCACTCTTTCACACGCACGTACCCATACACCTGCACACATATATATATTCGGTTACTAATGTTCATATAACGATGAGTACTCCATACTGCTCAGTGCTTCGATCACGATCATTAAGAGCTCTGAGTACTCAAATAGAATAGAAAGTCACGATGACGTCAAAATGATGAGAAAATAATGGAATCGTGATTGAAAAGTTAAAGTTTTTTAGTTACTTTTTCGTAACTTAAACATTATTTTGACGTCACCTTGATATTTTGTTTTACATGAATAGCTTTTACATAAATAGTCTTACATGAATAATTTTACATGAAGACATAAATTAAAGGAATTATTTTTTAGAATTTTTTTGCAAAAGAATAATAAGACACATTTTTTAATTCTTCAATATGTTTTTATTATGCTTCGAGAAAGTGAATTTTTTTTATAACTCAAACACGTCTATATCCGCAAATAGACAGAGATTCTGAACATATAACATACAAACTTATAACATACAAATATATTTTTTTTCTGATATTATTGTAAACAGCACAATGAGTATGTGTATGTATGTTTAAAATATGCTTGTTTTAAAAAATATTCATTTATAATGCACTAAAAAAATTTTGATTAAAATGTTTATTTTTTATTAGTACTATAATTTCGGATTAATTGCATTTTTCTTTTCTAACAGATGAAGGAGCATTTCGTGGCACTTAATACTATTTCGCCACATTTTATTCAATACAATGCTACTCAAAGCATAAAACAGTAATTTTCTGGAGCGACCATTACATAAAAACGGTGTAGTGAATACTGTTCTTTCTTCTATACGTTGCGTACCCTAATGAGTGTTGTAATATATATAGGTACATTTATTAATTATAGTAGATATATTTATCTAATTACAATATCTAGATATTTTTTTTGTATCTTTATCTGTAACTAGTTAAATTTTTCATCTCAATAACTGTATCTGTAACTAATTTCATTTTACCTTGTATCTGTATCTAAAGTGTTAAACATAGATACAGATACAAGGTAAAATGAAATTAATTACAGATACAGTTACTGAAATGAAAAATTTAACTTATTACAGATAAAGATGCACAAAGTATGTATCTATTGTAATTAGATAAATATATCTACTGTAATTAATAAATATATCTAGATACATTACAACACTGACTCTAATATATAACATTTACAAAGGTAAATTTTTATTTGAATGGTATCATGTTCTATGAAGTTGCATACATCTATATTACTTCTACACTATAAGGTGACATGTGCAAAATTAACATTTAGTATGAAATTTCGTATGTACGTTGCAGATAAATCTCATGCAACTCTGACTACGAATGTATCTTACGATAAATGTTATATTAAAACTTTTGTATAATTTTAAGTAGTGTTGTAATGTATCTAAATACATTTATTAATTATAGTACATATATTTATCTAATTACAGTAATTATATGTATTTAATTACAATATCTAGATATATTTATCTAATTACAATAGATACATACTTTTTGTGCATCTTTATCTGTAACAAGTTAAATTTTCATTTCAGTAACTGTATTTGCAATTAATTTCATTTTACCTTGTATCTGTATCTATGTTTAACACTTTAGATATAGATACAAAGTAAAGTGAAATTAGTTACAGATACAGTTATTGAGATGAAAAATTTAACTAGTTACAGATAAAGATACAAAAAAAATATCTAGATATTGTAATTAGATAAATATATCTACTATAATTAATAAATGTATCTAGATATATTATAACGCTCATTAGGGTACGCAACGTATAGAAGAAAGAACAGTATTCACTACACCGTTTTTATGTAATGGTCACTTCAACATTGCTTAAAATAATATAAAAGTTTTAATATAACATTTACTGCAAGACACATTCGTAGTTAGAGTTGCATGAGAGTCTGTATCGTACATATGAAATTTCATACTAAATGTCAATTTTGCACATGTCATCTTATAGTGTAGAAGTAATATAGATAATAATTATACCAATGCAACTTCATAAAACATGATACCATTGAAATAAAAACTTATCTTTGTAAATGTTATATATTAGGGTCAATGTTGTAATGTATCTATATAGATACATTTATTAATTACAGTAGATATATTTATTTTTAATTACAATATCAATACTTTTCGTGTATCTTTATCTGTAACTAGTTAGATTTTTTATTTCAATAACTGTATCTGTAACTAATTTAATTTTATTATGTATCTGTATCTAAAGTATTAAACTTAGATACAGATACAAACTAAAATGAAATTAGTTACAGATACAGTTATAGAAATGAAAATTCTAACTAGTTACAGATATAGATACACAAAAAGTATCTAGATATTGTAATTAAATAAATGTAATAAACTACTGTAATTAGATAAATATATCTACTGTACTTAGTAAATGTATCTAGATACATTACAACATTGATTTTAACTATTTTGGCTTAAAGTAAATAAATTCTTTATTAAAGAGCGCGAATCCGAAAGTCGTTCTCAGTTTTACACGATACAATAAGTCGAAACCGGGTAGAGAGAGAAAGACAGACAGACAGATAGATAGGTAGATAGAAATAAAGACAGAGAGAAAGAGAGAGAGCCCGTAGAGGTGCTCAACCGCGATTTATCGGTGTATCGCATCTTCGCGAGGCGTTTCTTTGCGCCGCGACGATAAACGTCTTCGCTTTTGGTGGCGGAACGAGAAACGGTTCGATATACTTATATAGCGTACGAATGCTCCCGTCCA